AAAAGACAAGAACTTAACCGACGATTTAGCCAGTTATACAGACTACTTAACAGAAAATCTAACCTCTCAATTGGAAACTAACTATTAATATACAAGACCATACTGAAACCCATCTGGACCTATGGACTTGAACTGTGGGGGACAACTAAATTTTCAAACATCAAACGCATCCAATCCTTCCAGTCTAAGTCCTTCACACAATAGTAAATGCTCCCTATATATACGCAACAGTGTTTCAATCTGAAATACTGGCAATAACTCAATGTGCTTCAAAAATGCTGCTTGACGGATTAGAAGGGAGGAGAATAGCAATATATACGGACAGTCAAGCGGCCATACGAGCATTAGACAACTACACAACTAGATCCAAGGTAGTTGGGGATTGTGTTAGAATTCTCAACAAATTATCTAGACTTAATAAGGTATACATTGAATGGGTTCCGGGTCACTCGGGAATTCATGGTAATGAAATGGCTGATGAACTAGCCAGACAAGGCTCTCAAACGACACCAACAGCTCCGGAACCCATCTGTGGTATTAGTCAGTGTCTGACAAGAAACAGAATCAGGGAGATATATGGTGCTGAAAACGAAAGGAACTGGTCATTGAAAAAGCAGACCCACTCTAGACTGTTTCTGGAAGGAATCTGCCAAAAAAGAACTAACTTACTAATTAATTTGAGCAGGAGCTCACTTAAGAAAATTACAGATGCATATACAGGGCACTGTAAACTGAATTATCATATATTCAAACTTCGGCTCACAGAGTCGTCTCTTTGTAGGTTCTATGGGCGGGAGGATGAGACAGCGTATCATGTCACTTGCTGGTGCGATGGGTTTGCTGGCCTAAGATTTCGTTTATTCGGCACTGATAGAGAAAAGGATCCCAAGGCAAACGAACTTATCAATCCAACAAACTTACTACAGTTCATAGAGACTGCAGGAATTACACTCTAACTGAAGTGACTTCAAATTAGGAGTACAATAGGCCTACATGGGCGGGCGTAGTGCACTCATGCCGCGAAAAAAAAAAAAAAAAATGCTCCCTATTATGTTACAAACAAAACTCTACATCATGATCTTAACATCCCTTATGTCCTTGACATTATTCCATCCCGTTTCTCAAATTTTCATCAAAACCTAATCCATCATCCTAATTCCTTAGCACAATTCTTATCCAGCTCCAGCCATCGCTACAATCCTCCTAGAAATTGATTTTAAATTCAGGTTGACAAATCATAGTTTATACTTGTGATACTGAAACGAAGAGTCAAAACTCAACTTCACCAACAACTAAAAAAGCTCAAATGAGCAAATCAAAATCCAAAACAATGATGATTGTTTTTACCAATATTTATTGGACTATGCACCTTCATTGGGATCTTAAAGGTTAAACTAATTATCGGCATTATTACATTCTTGTCTTGACAGAAAGAGAAAGTGACACCTGTCCTGAAGGAGCTTACAGAATACTTCCAGCACTGTTTTCGACATTGGAAAAATTGCATGGAGTGTTGAAGGGATAGAGAATGGGTATATATTTCAGGTAATAATAAGTAAATATGCATGAAATCAAAATAAAATATTTTACTGCATCAGTCTTGTTATTTAACAGCCACATCTCATACATTCGGTATTTTTCCAAATACTTCCTGCAGTCATTCCTACTGGTATTTATATATTGGTCATTACTATTTGTTATTTTTAAATGAAGAAGCCACTAAAACAGCAGTGGGACTTATTGCAGTTTTTAGTGATGTCACCTTTCTGGAGGTGCCTGATTGGAAAAAAAAGTGTTATAAAATTGTTTAAAATTAGGTTTTCTATGAGAATCTTTCATTAAAAATATTACTTTTCATTTCAAATTCCACAATTAAGTGCTCTACAGAAGAATTAGAAGAGGTTACAAAATCGATTTCATCAACAAAACATATTTTATTCACCATAACTATGGCCTAAAAAATTTCATTTTGAGATTCTGAGAACCCAAAAAATTGGAGTAAGCAGGGAGTATGAAATAACATATATATACATTTTACACACACTTTATTTACATACATACACACACACACACACACACACACACACACACACACACACACACACACACACACACACACACACGCACACGCACACACACACACACATATATATATATATATATATACACACACAAAGTTTCTTCAATCGACCTTTGAATATTATATTTTAATATTAATAAAATTGGGAATTAGGTCACTTAATTATTATTCAATAAACTACAAAACGTTCATTGATCCTGTTGTTTATTCGACATTTCGATTCCGTATTTTTATGATAACATTTACAATTTAAACAACTATGTTAATGTGTATATGTATATATATACACACACATAGGGAACAGGGCAGCTCAGTGGGTGGGCACTGACTTCCAGAGCTCAAGAACCCAAGTTCGAATCCGGCTGATGACTAGTAAAATTTTATCAGCCATGGATCGACCCTGGGATCGGCACACCCATCCTCTAAAAAGTGGGTACCCTTAATTAAAAAATTAGTTAAGGGGGAAAACCTGGCGATTGAGCATGATATCAGCCCAATCACCTTCCTGCACAACCATTGGCCTTATAACAGTATTTTCCCACATAGTACTGAACCCAAGACCATTCATGGGTTGTAGTGATTAGGGGTGGTTATTTTAGGTTTTTTTTAATATTATATATATATATATATATATATATATATATATATATATATATATATATATATATATATATATATACATATATACACAGGGTATCCTGTGAGTAGAGGGAAATATTTATAGCATCTTTTTTTTTGAGCTAAAGAAAAGATTATATAAATAATAACCCGAATTTCAGCAGGAAAGTAGAAAATTGAACTTCCTCATTCAATAAGCTTTATGTCCGATTAATTAAGTTGAGGTTTATTAGGGAAAAATTTGAGATTCATCTTAAATTGTTAAAAATTATGTGATTTTTTATCATGCCACCTAAAAGTAACCATCTTTTCAGCAAAAATGACTACAATAAATTATTACAAAGCTTTAATTTTTTTTTACGATGGTCTGGGATGTATGATAATTTATATAAATGCATAAACACACTTTTTATTTATAAAAAATAAAAATATTAATTTTTTAAATATTTTTCATGTAAAATGGTAATAAAAATGTGACTTTACTAAGATCTCTATTTATAAGTGGCGAAATAAATGTTTCTAGGCCTAAAATTTATGTTTAAAATAAAGAAAACTGCTGATTGCTTTAATTATTTTCATGAAAACAATTATACTAGGTTTAAGAAAATTGAGTTGGTAAATACATACAGATCAATTCCTATAATAGAGATCTGAGTTAAAAACACAGTTTAATAATCACTTTAAATGAAAAATATTCGAAAAATCATTATTTTTCCTTCTTTTTCTTTTTAGAAATAATAAGTATATTTAGGCAATTACATTTACTATAATACATCCCAAATCATGGAAAAACAAGAAATGAAAGCTTTGAAACAATTAACTGCAGTCATTTTTGCTGAAAACATGGGTACTTTAAGGTGCCATGATAAAAAATCAAATAATTTTTCTAAACAATTTGAGGTGAATCTCAAATATTTTCCTGATAAACCTTAACTTAATTAATATGGAAATAAAGCTTATTGAACGAGGAAGTTTTTGTAAAAGTGGAGTATCTGAGTTATAGTTCGATAATGATAAAAAAAATAAATAAAAAAAATCGTGAATAATTAATGAATTTTTTGAAAACAGAACTAGCTTAATTTAGCCACTCAAAAGTCCTGTTCAATTGGTTTTAATAATGAAAAACTCTATTTTTATTTTAAGTAAATTTTGTATAGTTTACTGAGGAGCTACAGTTAATTACTTAAAGTGAATATTTATTTACTTATCACTTCCCATTCCCAAAAAAACATGACTTACTTTAAAAAACACATAACTTGAATTTCCTACTTTTCTGCTGAAAATTGGCCCATTGTTTATAAGAATTTGTTTGTAGCTCTTGAGGTCTGCTATCACTCCTATAAAAACTTCCCTCTACTTATGAGATACCCTGTATGTATGTGTATATATATGCAACATATTTGTGCATGTTAAACAGACATTACTTTTAAAATTCAATCAAAAAGTGAAATTGTATAACATAAAATATTTATTAACCTTCAAAAATCAAGTTCTATAGAATAAAAAAAGAAGACCATCACCTTAAGCTGTGTTATTATTCATAACCTCAATACAAAGTGTGAGTGGTTAAACGTATATTCCAATCCTGTGACATGTAATTTACTTTATACAAGTATCAATAAGTTGCTTTGACAACAAGAGTAACCCAAAGCACCCACTAAGTGAAAAAGCATAATGCTTGTTTGAACCCTACTCACTTAATTATTCCCTTCAAGTGGATACAATGAGATACGTAAAAAGCTCTTCTTGGCTTAGAACCAATTAAATCATCACAAACCTTGTAGCAAGATATTTTTCCTCCTATCCAAACTCACTGTTTGGATACTGTAAAGAAAAAAAAATGCTAGTGTAAATACTTAACCTAATTTTTTTAAATGCTAAGAACAGCTTCATAATCCACAAGGTTGTACTATTTAAATATTTAATAATCATAAAGTAAAGAAAATGTTGACATTCAAAGGACTCCTTAGCGATATAAAATCTATTATTTTTTCGAGGAAAAAATATATCTTATAGTCAGATATCATATAAGAATTAACTATAAATAAAAAATACGAAACTAAAAATGACTCTAATTCAAAAATTGACTTAAAATAAGTCAAGATAAAAATTGTTAATGATACTGCAATTAGCGCATTTAATATCAATTAAAAAAAAATGTAATTCATTATTCAAAGCATAATGATAATGATACACAATGCTATAAAAATATTATAATAATGATAACACTTGTATGAAACGTTAAAAGAATTTAATTCGAAAACCAATCCAAGTTGTCATTTGATTTAGTGGAAATACTTACTTTTATTTTGTTGTGGCTCAAATTGAGAGAAGTAAGATGAATCAGATCCTTGAGTCCTTCAATGGTAATGATTTTATTATACGAAAGGTCTACACTAACTAATGTTTTTAATGGAGCAATATTGTACATCCTCAACAATTGGTTTTGGGAGGCGCTAAACTAAAAAAGAAAAAAAAAAATTTCCATGAATATATTTATCTATATTCACATCTGCAACCACATAACTGCCCATGCAAGTCCAAACACACTTATACACAAGTACTTATTAAATCCTAAATTTCATTCTCCTCTGAACCCATATGATGTATATAAAAGTTCCTCTACTACAGCATTATATTAAAGGATATATATATATATATATATATATATATATATATATATATATATATATGTGTGTGTGTATATATATATATATATATATATATATATATATATATATCATCAGCTTCCAAAGGCACCTACAAGTGCAGCAAGTTTTCAACACGTTTGTTCTCTTCCTTAATTTTGGCACTATCTATCAGACTCAATGCTACCTACTACATTTATTTATTACAGTGATCCACCTCTAGAAACACTCATTCATTGTCAGTATCATTTAATGTTCAAAATGCATTATAATCTATACTTCGGTCAAGTTTATTTTAACAAAATGGGTGGAAAATAGTAAAAATTATGATAGTAATTATGTTGTTTATCAATGCCCAATGAATGAATTTATGTTAAAAAATGTTTAATTAATTTTGATTTTTTTATGCAGGCAAAATAACGCTGTTATCTTAACATCTTGCACCTAAAGACACATGTAAATACTGCCCTGATTTAAACTAAAATCATAATTGTTTCAACAACTTATTATATGAGCCTAAAAATCATATTTAATTTAGAAACAAAACAGATTTACTAAAAAAAAAAAAATTTTAAATATCAGTTAGATTGGCAATGGGAATTGATGATATATATACATTGAGCATGAGTGATTTTCATGAGGATTTTATCACTGTGCAGGGCGGCAGATGTGAGGATGGTTGACGGAAATTCCTTGGGAGTTCCTCCTGACAAAGTCTAATGGACTCACAGAACAACAATGAAAGGGGTCCTCCAGGCTTGCTGGATTGAACACCCTACTCATCTATCTTTAGTTCATAAAATACTAAACAGTTATGGATCTTCCTCAGGTAAAACTCTCACTATCCAGAAGTAAACAAGTCCCCCAGTCCCCCGTTCGGGTCTCCGGGTGGGGACTGCTTTAGGAGATTCATTGTACAAGTAGAAAACTAGAAATTTAAGTACAGGGGCATGGAATATACTAAGTTTGAATAAAGCAAGTGAGTTTAAATAGATATCGTGGCATTGCAAGAGGTTCACTAGTCAGGGGAGGACTCCATAAAAGAAGGTAAGGACACTATTTGGTCAGGCTAAAGCGGAAATCATTGTTTAGGTACTGATTTTCTTATTAGGAATAGATTTCTATCCACTTTGAGGGACATACAATCCTTTAGCAATAGCATTTCAGTGGTATATTCCAGGGGTGTTGATTTAAAATCATGTTGATAAACATACATTGTTCGAACGAAGACAGTGATAATGAAGCCAAATGCGAATTTTATGATAAACTGGAGTGAGTTTATGACAAACTACCACAAAGCTACATGAAAATGATTCTAGGAAACGTTAATTCAAAGGTGGGAAGCGAATATGTTTATTTTTCAATGATCGGTAAAGAAAGCTTAAACAACTAGAGTAATGATAATGGAATTCGTCTAATAAATTTTGCCTTGTCAAAAAACCTAATAATTAAAAATACTGCGTTTAGGATGCATAAGGATGTTCATAAATATACTCGGATATAGTGTTGTAAAAGACCTCGGTCAGAAGGCTGTAAGGCTTGAGCCAAAAAGGTTCGAGCTTCCTCGACTCGGCTAATGTTTGAGTCTTAAGAGCTTGGCAGTAAAAGGCTTAAGTCATAGTTCGAATCTTACTTGTTCTTCTCTATATATGTATTAAAGAACTTTAAATTGTTTTACAATTTATACAACAGAGTAAGCTGTTTTACATGATATTTATTAGTATTACGTCTTTGGAAGTTACTTGAATTATAGTTTTAACTGAAACAAAGTTTAGGTCGATCATTCTTTTCTGTGGAACTTGGAATATACAAGGTTTAAGAACAAAAAGAAAAGAAGTTGTAGAAGAATTAAAGAAATAAAAAATCAATATTGTTTTGTTATATATATCACATGCAGTTCTCTGACATCTGGTTAGAGCTCCATATCTCTGACTCACCTCTTAAAATCCTTTCCTCCTCTCAACACTTCGTACAATTTCTATCATCACACGATCTGATCCAAATTTCATATGACCTACCCGTGAAATCATTTACCCCCAAAATAGTTTCATATCACAATTTAAACCTCCTTTCCTATGAATCCCTTCAACCTGACCTTGATTATGTCCAATGAGATATCATATTTTCCTACAACTTCATTGACCCTATGATATCCACCCTTACTTCAAACCTAAAATCCATATTAGATATCCATGCTCCTCTGAAAACCATAACCATACGTTGTCCCACTGCTCCTTTAAATGCAAGAGTAGGAAACAGTGAAAATATTAGGGCAGTCGGAAGATATGGGGAAAACTGTAATGGTTGTAAACTAATAGGCCTATGTGAAGAATTAAACATGAGAATCTTAAATGGATTCTATAACCATAAAGATATCCACAAGTACACTTGATCTCAACCAACAAGACAACTAGTTTACAATTGACTATATAATCTTAAGGTGAACACTTCGGTGAGGAGGAGGATATAGATCAGACATACGGGATCTGGTGGGACGGGATTGAAAGAATCATTTGAATTGTAGGATCTGTAGAATATAGGAGGGTCACTGAGTTCTAATAGCCTGGTATAGGAAGGTAGCAATGAAATACTGACAGCGGTAGGACGGATAAAGCCACTTCAACTCGGTGTAAAACTGTGTAATATGCGTATCCCTTGAGATCCCAAAGATAAAGTGTATTGAGCAATTCATTAGACGTCTAAGTTTAGCCATGAGTTCTCTCGAGAGTTTACCATACACCATACAGCCATAGTCGAAGTGGGGAAAACAAGAGATGAAACCAGGAGTTGACAGGTTTTGAATGGAAGAAGATAACACAGATAGTTAAACTGTTTAAGGATAGAAATAGTATGGCAGGAAATTTGGGAGATGTGTGGTTTCCAGGAGAGGGTTTGATCGAGGGTAACATCAAGTTTTTTAACGGTAGTATGGAAGGAGATAGGTGAGTTGTTCAGGAGAAGATTGAAATGGATTTGAGGAATGAGGGCGAATCAATCAGGATGGCTTTTGTCTTCTCCGTATTTAATGTGAGCTTATAAGGTTTGCCAGGGCGCATATTCTATTGATGTCTTATTGCAGTTTCAGGATGGCATTAGAGGAATCAGCCGGGTTGAAGGAAAGGTAAATTTGGATGTCATCGGCAAATAGGTGGTATTGACAGTGCATGACAGAGGAAGGGAGGTCATTGATATAGATGGAAAAGTGGGTGGGGAGAGGAACCTTGTGGGACGCCTCTGGACAAGGTTAGACACACTGATGGAGAGTTATTAGGGATTACAATGTACTGGCAGCAACTGGTGAGAAAGGATTGGAACCACTTAAGGACACTAGATGACAAGGAAATATTTTAAATTTGGTTAGGAGGATATTATTGTCAACTGAGTCAAATGCTTTAGAGAAATCAGAAGATAGGTGGTGTTTCTGTTGTTCTATGGCTGTGTGGAGATCTTGGAGATTTTAATGAGGGCGGAATGAGTAGAGTAGTCAGATCTAAAACCGGACTGTTATTTTGTTAGTTCAGAAGGTTATTTTGTTCGAAATAGTGGGATAGTTGGGATCGTAGTATTCATTCTATAGGTTTGGAAAGGTTAACAGGGAAATTGGAGTTTTGTTCCATGGACGAACAAGGGCAGTTTTCCAGGTGCTGGGAAAAGTGGAACTTTGTAGTGAAAAGTTATAGATATGATAAAGGATTGGGAAAATGGATCGTCTTTCTTCCTGCCAAGCTTCCAAAAAACCACCTGGCTTTTCTGGCATTCTCCATTCTACAGACGTGTCCATACCATTTTAGTTGCCGCTCTTACATGATGTCGCACACTGATTTAACAACTAGATCCTCCCGAATTCTTCTATTTTTAATGCAGTCCCTCCTGGTCTTACCAACTATTCTTTGGAGGAATCTCATTTCCACTGATATTATCCTACTTATGTACTTGTCGAGGGCTGTCCAGCTATCTGATCCAAACAGGAGAACTGGGAGAAACACGGATATAAATATCCGTATTTTGGCATCTCTACTTGCTTCTTGCTTGTCTATAATAGTTTTGGAAATCTGATGGTACACTCTATTGGCCTTCTTCACTCGATTTAGAACCTCCTGGTCTATTTTACCATCTTTACTTATTATGGTCCCTAGATAAACAAAATCCTAGGCTCTGCATTTTCTCTTCAGACATACATAATTTTGCTTTTGTTCGGGTTTATTTGTAAACCTCTTATTTTCAGTTCCTCATTCCATTCATCCAAGAAGAAGAGCCTCTTCCGAGTCAGTTATCAGTATGATATCTGTAAATATCATTGCTTGAGCTAATACTAGAGTTAGGTTTCAAAAACCCACCACTGCTCTTGGGCATCTCCTTTTGCACACCTTCCATATCTCATCCATAAGGAGGACATATGTCCCCCTGTTTTACTCCCTTATAAAAGTGGAAAGGCTGTGATGTCTGACCATTAAGTCTTACAATGCCCTTTGGGTCTTGGTACACCCAATTAATTGCACTCACCAAGTTTGCTGGCACTCTTCTTGTTATTAGTGTGTCCCATATCTCCTGCCTCTGGACTCAGTCAAAAGCCGCCCTCAGATCCAGGAATGCTAAGTAGACTGCCTTTCCCCAGTCCTACCCTTTCTCTACTATCATTCTTAAGGAAAAAATGTGGTCTAGGGTCTGTCTTCTATGTCTGAAAGCCACTTGCTCTTCTTCAATATCTTGTTTCACAACACCTGCTCTAATATTCTAGTGTATATTTTGTACACTACTGAGGATAGGCATATTGGCCTATAGTTACCACATTCGCTTTGATTACCTTTCTTTTGAATTGAGATTATGATGTTGTTTTCCCATTCTCGTGGCAGCAAATTAAGGTCCCAAATCTTCTGGAACAGCATTTGAAGGCATTTAATCATTTCATTGCCTCCATATTTTAAAGGCCCTCTAAGCCTTTCATAATATGCCAGAACTTCCTAAGATTCTCTCTATAGTTCTGTTCAAGCTCTTGACTAAACTTCTCCCAAGTCCTCGTCTTAGCTAATTTGATTATTCTTTTAGTCTCATTTCGGTTTCTGACATATTCATCTTGCATAGGTAATCTAGTTCTATTATAAGTTTTTCAGAACTCCTTCTTGAGCTTGAGGCTTCTTTTGACATCATTGTTCCACCATCTTGTTTTCTTGGTATGAGGCCTTATTTTTTGTTGTCCACATGCTTTACTTACCGTATTGAGTATGCAGTAGTCAATTTCATTCCAGAAGTTATCCAGTGTACTCTTCCCGTTTACTTCTTGGAGGCGACTTTCGAGCAGTGACCGATATTCTTCTTGTTTATTTTCCATTTTTAGCTTGCTAACATCAATCCTATCATGTGATTTGCTGAATCTCTTTGTTTGATTATTTTTGTATCTGTTATAAGTAGTTTGTGGTCTGTGCTTAGTTCTGCCTCCCTTATGACAGTGAAGAAGAGCCTTCTTAGGTAACGGTCAATTATAAAATAATCAATGATGCTCTTCCTCATAGTCCGCTCTCAAAGGTGATCTTGAGGATCGTTTTATCATTAAACCATGAGGTTCCTATGAGCATATTATTTTCTATGGAGAATTCTATGATACTTTGGCCATTACTATTGAGCACACTTTCTCCTCCCCATGGACCCATCAATCCATGTGCATTCACTTTATCGTTTCCAGTCCTAGCGTTAAGATCCATCATTATCATTCTGCCTTTGTTCCTAGCATCATCTACTTTCCTCCGGAGATCTTCATAGAACTGAACATTCTCAAAGGCTGCTGCATCTTCTACCGGGGAGTATACTTGTACAACAGTAATTTTACCGATTGACAACTCTACATCTATAGCAATGATCCTTGATGGAATTGGTTGCCAGGATTCTATCCTCTTATACATTATGACCCCCATCACAAATGCTTCTCCTTCCTTTGCTCTATCTCTCACAACGACACCAGAGTACACTATATTATACCCATCAGGTAATTTTTCATGTCCACTTCCTCTTTTCGCCACTTCACATAGCCCCATTATGTCAACTTTGTGCCTTTTTCTTTCCTGTGAGCTATCTTATATTCCAAGAGGCAAATCGTAGTTCCTTGTCCATGCACCTATAGAAGGTAAAAACAATGAAGAGAAAAAGAATACATTCCATGGAAACATGGATATATTTCAGAAAAGATGCATGATTCCTTACCTGTCAAAATAATTCTGGAACATTTTAATGGTAGGATAGGAAAAGAAAAGATATTCTTCCCAATAATAGGCAATCACAGCAAACATGAGAAAACAAGCGAGAATATACTGAGAATGGTTGATTTTACAATGACAAGAAACCTTAGAATAAGAAGCACGTTTCCCCCCAATAAAGATATTCATAAGGAAACATGGAACTCACCAGGTAGCCTGACCAAAAATCAAATTGACCATGTTATCATTGATGCCGGACACGTCAGCGATATTTTCAGTGTCCAAAATTAAAAGGGAGCTTACTGTGACTCAGACCATTATCTGGTCAAGATTTTATATGAACAAAAGCTGGCACTAAGAGAAAAAAGGAATGTAAGAAACATTACTACTTAAAATGTTGAAAAACTAAAAGAAGAAAGTGTAGCTCAGCAATGTCAAGGAGAAATAACAGAAAGGCCGAGAGAACAAGTGTCTACTAATATGAACATAGAAGAAAAGTGGAAATACCTTAAAGATGTGCTTTAGTTTGGGTATCTACTTTTTAAAATGTTCTTATCATATGGTAACATTTAATTTTTTTTTTCACAAAAAATTATAGGAAAATTGGCTGGCTTTTTGCCTGTCTGTAGACAACCTACATAAAGAACTCCAGAGAATAGAAACCCATTTGACTGGACTACAGGCGCAAATAGAACTGTTTAGCCAAAAAAAAGAAAAAAAAAAACTTGGTTATTTTAACCCTTTTTACCTAGTCCAAAAGAATGTTTGATTTAATGAAAAGGTTTGGAGAAATTTTATGATATGATGAATAGATGCTTTGTTTCTCTACATCAAGACAATACAATGTCTATTGCAGCAAGTACTCATACTTGAAAAGCATCGTGGTAAAACAAATATGTTCACTACTGTATATTTTTTCAAAGTAGGAGGCATTTTAACCTTTGTAAAAGCTTTCTTTTTCAAATAGTGACTTGAAAAGGCTTCTCAGTAGCCTGTAAGTTTACTTCATAGAGTAGAACTTACATTACCGTTTGATGTATCTCTTCAGTTAAGGTAATGTAATATTTAGAAATTAAGGACTTGCATAATTAAATTTAATAAGATATGTTCTACAGCATGAAGATACAGAATAATATATAATACAAACCTAAATTATTCTTAAACTAATAAAAGACTAAGGAGAGACCTATACCTCAGTTATATTTACAATTCTGTATAATAAGCTGTATAAAACAACAAAATATACAATAGGTTTAATGTATCATTAAGTATTATTTGTTTTTAATACTAATTTGATATTTATTATATATACACATTTTACCTGAACCAAATTCGTGAAAAATGCTAAAAATTCAAGCTTCTGTAGCTCATTACCATCAAGGTGTAGATAAGAAATATTTGCTGCCTTCTCTTTACTTATAAAATTTCGATTCAATCTCTTAATATGTTGATTACAGAGGTTAAGAACTTTTTCTTCATCTAGAAAATATAATAAATAAAATAGTTTCTGTTAATACAGCAAAAAAAATTAATACATGTGCTAATATAACTTATTGTGTATAAATGAGTTTGTGCGTTCATTGAAACTTATGAAATCAATAACAGCTATAAAATTATAATTATTAAAAAATAAAAAGTATTAACCAGAGAGCATGCTTATGAATAATAAATAAATATAGAATCAAAAAGATTTTTAATCCTCCAGAGTATAGGACCTTGACAAGAACTTTCATCTTAGTTAACCTTTCACTGGGCGCTATGATATTCATTGGACAGTAATTAAGCATTGACTTTTTGGGAACAAATTATCCTCTCTGCAACTCACCTGTCACAATCGAAGATAGGGGTCCTTATTTGAATCATTTAGTGTCTAATAATTAACATATTAATTTGAAAATTAACTGGATCATTGCATTAACAGTTAAAATACATAATAAAGCTAATGTTATTTTCATTTTTTTATATTCTTGTTATTATACATGAGTGACATAACTAGAAAACTATTTTTTGGAGAGGAGTTGCAGTTCCTCACATCCTAGTATTCAAAAAAACATAAATTATTCAAAATAGAAATACCAAAAAAATCTGGTGCCCGCAACACACAACTTTCACTTACTGATATACTTTGAATAGAAATTATTTTCTGGCAATGCTGGGCTATTATAAAATTTTTTGTAGTGCATTAAGTCATTTAAGACAAGTCATTAAGACCATTATAATTACAAAATGTCTATTTAATATATCAAGGACAGGCAATAAAAATCTAGTCACTCCTTCTGCTTTTATAAACCACACAACTTTCTTTGCTTTTATAAACCACAGAATGACTAACTCCAATTTCAACATTTTTGAGTGATGTCATTTTAGTGATATTTTTAGTTGAAAAAGTTATCTATGCAGACAATGAGTAAGGTTGATTCCGGAGTGGTGATTGCAGTGTTGAAATATAGAACTGAGAATAAAGGTATAAATTTAGGTACTTATTTCTTATGAAAGATGTTCTTAGGAAAGATACTTTATTAAATATCTGTAGAAAAAAGATTTTTTTAGTCTCAACAATTAAAAAAGTATATTTTAAATTTATCCAAATTTTCGCCTCTTCAGGGAAAAAAACTAGACACCATATCTTTCCTCCTAATTGTCCAATTTTAACGATTTTTTTGTTGTTTTTTTTAGGAAATTCCATAAAATTTAAAAAAAAATCATATACAATATCAACAAAAAAGTGTATACTTTTTGAGTTATTCAGAATTTAATTTTACCATCCCTTGTAACTTTTTTTCCAGCTTCTTTACGTTGAAGTATGTTATATAGATAAATTTAAAAAGTGTCGAGAAAATGATTTTAGCGAAGTTTCATTGAAATCGATACATTCGTTTAGGCGCTACAGTCTATAGCAACACAGGTTTTTCTGCATTTTTCTCCTTTATTAACTTATCAAATTCTTTCAAAAGTTATATGTAGCATTTTTTTATAACCCTGAATAACTTTTTAAAATAAATCATATTAAAGGTACTTTAGAGGAAGACACATATGAACATTGGGCATTTAAGCCCTGTAAAGTGACATCAACGGGGATAAGACTTAAATGAAAGAACACTTTAATTATACAATGATACACCGAGTTTAATCAAAATCATTGGAACCGTTTTTGAGAAAATTGTAAAAATGTGTTTCAGCGTTCATATAAAGTGGCACTTCCGGTTAACCGATTTTAACAAAAAGTTTATGTCACATCCGGCCCATATACAAACCTTAAATACTTAATATCACTTTCGTACTACTTTTCGTACAACAAGTACCTAAAAGCTACTGGTTGCAAAAAAGTGCATATTGGAATTGTGATGCTTATAGGCAGACTCCTAATCGATTTATCAACATCCATTTTGAGTAATCATTTGAGGGATCAACTCATTTATGAAGGTAATTTTTGAATAACAATACCTCTTTCTTGTAAATTCAGTATCACAATATTTTTATAATGGGTTCTCCCCATCCCTTAAGTACCTTTCTAGTATATTTTCCAGATTTCCATCTCCAAATAATTCATAAATTCTATGAAATCACAAAAAAAAAAAAAAAAAAAAAAGCTATTATTTTACTTATTTTTATTAAACAATTAGTCAACTTCTATTAATTGTAATAGTTAACACACCCTCTTTGTTCAGGTTCTATATTAAAGCATTATATATCAATGTTTTATTTAAATATTACTACTTTAAATATTAAATAAAAGCTTTTATTGTTGTTTTTACAATTGAAGTTAACATAAAAATCACTTATTAACAATATAGTAATATCATTCTCCATAAATAAAATGAAAGTTAAGAAATAGCAAATTCAAAGATACAGATTGTCTTCAAATAAATTATCCAATCATAAATTATCCTAAATAGAACATAAAAAATAAGTTATATGAGATCAAGCAAAACAAACCTTCAAGTAATTTTGTTTGAAATAATATTGCTTGGTAATACAGAAATGGTAAAAATAGTATTGCATTGCTTTACAAAACATATTTTTGTCCCTTTTATTGTTTATACATTTAAATATTTGTATAACTGAATATTAGTATTCTCCTTACATTTGGTAAAATGAAAATTGTACATGCCTTTACTGTGAAATCAAGATGTATTTTTTTTTAAATATTGTAATTGTATGCCAAATGTTAATGTCAAGTTTGTCAAATGAACACAAAGCCCAAATGTTATCTCTACTAGGATAAACTTAATCCTTTCATTTGTATTTACTCATTTACACCACACATTTTTAAATTGTTAAATATAATTTTAATTATACTAATCATGTTAACTTATTGCTGACCTATTCATTTAATTTTTGTTTAGAAATTGACTACATTTTTAATATATTTTGTTACATGAATTGATTCCAAGAATTTACTGATTTTTGCCTCATTTAATATTTCAACATTATCAAAATTGAAATTATAAATATTGTTTACCCAGTGTACTCATACATATTATTGGGGATATTAGGGTTTGATTTATATTGTGTCTCTCATTTAATATTGATTATTACAAACTTCAAATTTAATTTTGATAATAAAATTTGGCCAATTATTATTTTATATTTTATCTTTCATATCTATTTGTCTTATTTAGGATATTTTATGTGCCAAATTCTATATTATAAGTATGATCAGGCTTGGTGAAAGTTTTATTTATTGTATCTGTAATCGTGGAATGTATTTTAATTTTTAAAAATGTATAGCTATTTACTGTTGTAGTAGTTACTTTATTACTGTTTTTAATACTATTCTTATTATTAATTATTTAAAAGTAATCTGTAAATTATTTTTTGGTTTGTTACTTTGCAATGGTTTCATCATTAACCTGTACCACTACAACCCATGAAGGGTCTGGGTTCAGTACTATTTAGGGAAAGCACTGTTTCTAGGTCAACGGTTGTGCAAGGAGGTGATTTGACCGAGATCACGCTCAACCGCCAGGTTTTCCCCCTTAATCAATTATTTAATTAAGGGTACCCACTTTATAGAGGCTGGGTGTGCCCCAGGAGGGACTTCTGACCCAAGGTCGCCCCACGGCCAATGAAACAGATAAATAAATTTTCTGCCATGAGCCGGGGTTCGAACTCGGGACCTTTGCATTGGAAGCTCAGTGCCCTACCACTGAGCTACCCCGCTCCCGGTTTCATCATTAAGCTTCTATATAATTTTTTATGATTTCTTACCATTTTTGATGTTACTTTCATTCCTGTTTAAACCAAAAATTAATTATAGAGAATAAATTTGTGTATTAGGATAAAAATTACTCTTAAGGATATCAGTTCATAATATCATAATATCCTTTATAACATTTCAGTTGTATTTACATGGACCGGTACTGAAAATTTAACTCTTATTTTTAATCAGTATTAATAAGACTGGCAACTTATTTTTTTTCTGTCATTTCTTAACTAAAAATTTATCCCATGTAACTTTTCGAATAAAAATTTTACAGGACTTAAAACAAAAACTATTATTTAAAAGCTTTATTGAAGATATTGGTTTCATTTAAACACCTGTCCAGAAATTGGTAATTGAGCATAACATTCTATTCCAACAAAGGATATAAAAGACTCAGGTAATTTAATTTGGATAAATTATACCTGTAATACAAACTTTTTTCCTGGAATGTTTCAATGAAGCTATTATAAAAGTTTTAACCCTTGGAACTAACTATTCAATGCTTAGAAATATTTTTTTAAAATTGATGTAAAATAGTGTATTGTACAAAATAGAAATTTTGACAGGGCGAAATGGCGAAATTAAAATAAATAAAGAATTTTAAGTGTGAAACTTCACAAATTGGTGTACGTTAAAACAAGCTTTAAAAACATAATATTTGAGAAGCAAAATAATAACCAAAATTGCACTTCCTTTTCCCAAGTTAAATATTATTAAATTAAATTATTAATTAGCCTGTTCATACAAGCATGTTTCAACTTGTAGGCTTCTCATAATTAAGAGGGTAATGGTCAAACTATCCACAGGGTAAAATATAAGTTGTTGGATATGCTTGAGACTAACTATTTTTAACAGAAAAAGTAAGTTGTAATTCCTTACTAAGACATTTAGATTAATCTATATCTGCCTTTATAGTACTTCTAGTAAGTTATCAATATCTAAAAGCTTTACTTTTTTACTTACACCACTTTAAATGGTTCCATGATAAGCAGTTCTTAGATTAAAGCTGGATTATCGCCAGTTACAAGGAAAAAATAATTTGAAAATGTTTGACAAATTTAATTAAATTACATGATAAATTAATATTGTAACATTACAACCTCCTACCATCAAAAGAACAAATGCAAAACATTATGATAAGTTATGACAAAGTTAATTTACTTACATAGGCTTTCTGCCTTTCCATTTTAGGAACATATGAACACCAATAAACCAATATATATGAGAACACTGCTAAGAATAGTGAAGCAAACTTGATCCTTTTCAAGACTTT